TAGTGTTACTCGATATTAGCTCCAACACATTTTTTCTTCTATACCTTGCACAACCCAAGTCACTTTGTCGTTGCTCGAAACCTTTTTAATAAACGAACCGGCAGGACCGCCGAACCGGTTGTTAAATAACCGTAAGCAAAGAAACCGGAATGGTTCAGGGAGAATCGAATCAAATCACTTGAACCTAACCATGGCACGGCACCTTGCTCATGCCTATATGTGGGTGCAACAGCTAAGGAGGAAAGTGCAGACCCTGTGTAGGGGATAGCAGCACATGGGCGTGGAGAGGGGTGGGGTGGGGGCAGCACAGCACAGGAAAGCTGACCTCTGGAGGAGCCGTCGTGGCCCAGCAGCAGCTTGAGCGCCGACAGGATCTGCTGCGCCGCTGCTGGCGCCATGGCCGTCCCGTACAGATGCCCTGGACTCGTGGCCTTGAGATACGCTATCAGCTCCTGGACGTACGCATAGATGGCGAGGGGGAAGGCGGAGTGGAGGGAGTGGTGGTGGGGATATAGAAGTGGCATCGACAGGTAAAGCGATGAGTGTGATGGTTACGAGTGAGGAAACGTGCAGGAACATGGGAGCAGAGAGCAGGTGAGCAGGGCGAGGGGAGTGGTGCGGACATGGGAGGCGGCGATGTAGCCACCGCAGGAGCCGAAGGACTTGGTGAAGGTGCCCATCAGCACGTCCACGTCAGCAGGGTCCACCCCCGCCACCTCGCACACGCCGCGCCCCGTGCGGCCCAGCGCACCGATGCTGTGCGCCTCGTCGAGGAAGAGGTAGGCCTTGTACTTGCGCTTGATGTCCACTATCTCTTTGAGGCGGCAGATCTCGCCCTCCATGCTGTAGATGCCCTCCACCACTATCAGCACCTTCTTCCACGGCCGGTGTGTGCGCGGCTGCCCCTCCGCTATCGCCGTGCGCAGCACCTGCTCCAGGTTCTCCGGCACTGCCCTCCCACACGCGCATGCGGTGGGATGAGGTGGGATGAGGTGGGATGAGGTGGGGACAGGGACCCAGGGTGGGTGAGGCAGGGCGAGCAGGGAAGAGGCAGCAGAGGGAAGTGGTTTGACCACCTCATGCACAGGCAGGGCCTTGAGGCATGGGTTGCGATGCGAGGCATGGGTTGCGATGCGAGGCATGGGTTGCGATGCGAGGCATGGGTTGCGAGGCATGGGTCACAGGGTACAGTATTATGGCCCAAGGGGCGCACATTGAGCTAAAAGCCCAAAGCAGCAGGTGCGAGAGGGAGTGGATGGGGATTTGCACAGAAGGGTTGGCAAGGCAAGGAGAAGCGGGTGCGGAGGGCAGCGCGGCGCACCGTTGTGTTGAAAGACCTTGATGCCCGCACCCGACGCACGCGCTCCCGCGATGATGCTGCAGTGGTTGAGCGAGTCACTGATGATCAGACTCCCCTGCCCTCCACACATGGCGCCATGCGATAGCACATTGAAGGATAGGCGCAGGAACAGGTATGGGTTGTGACTCTTTCCTATGAGCCGGCAAAAACATGAGAAGTGCGTGCAGCGGCGCACCTTGCCCACGAGGGCGCACCTTGCCGACGAAGGCGCACCTTGCCGACGAGGGCGCACCTTGCCGACGAGGGCGGGCAGGGTGAGGGAGTTGGTGGCAAAGCCCATGCCGTAGACCATGGCGGCTGGCTTGCGGATGAACTCCGCCATGCACCGCTCCAACTCCACGTGCACCCCAGTCGTCCCTGCCATGCCCCCCACCCCCAATGCGCTGCGCCTTTAGACTTGCATGAAGAGAGTCACATGCTAGACGCGCGCAAGTGCACCCAGCAGAGTGAGGGAGAGCATGGTCCATCAGTGTGAGGGGCTGACCTGCGTCGGTGTGAGGGGCTGACCTGCGTCGGTGCGGCTGCTGCAGGTGGAGGAGCCGAAGAGGCGCAGCGAGTCCTCGGCACGCGGAGTGCAGAAGGGGTCGGGCGCACCGAAGCCCAGGTAGTTGTACGACCCCAGGTTCAGACTGCGCACCACCGACTCCTTGCGCCTGCCGCCCGTCATCGCATACGATACGCCATCCCCAACGCCACATGGCACATGAATTTCCAAGGGTGAGGGAGTTGACAAGGGTAAGAAACGAGTGGTTGGTGAGGGAGTTGACAAGGGTAAGAAACGAGTGGTTGGTGAGGGAGTTGACAAGGGAAAGAAACGAGTGGTTGGTGAGGGAGTTGACAAGGGAAAGAAACGAGTGGTTGGTGAGGGAGGTGGCATGGCATGGCAAGCACCGCGATGCAATGCTGATGCATGGGTTGGGGCATGCGGCTCACACAAGGGTCTGGTTGTTGTCGTGTGAGTCGCGGTTGATCACGTCAATCCATGCATCCGGCGCACTCGCGATGGGGCGGTTCCAACAGTCCTGCACCCCACCACCCCGCACCCCACCACCCCCACACCACTTAGATAGACGAGTCATACACATGAAGTCAGCAACGTGGCATAGACGAGCATGGGTTGAGAGCGAGGGGCGCACCTGAAGGCGAGGGGCGCACCTGAAGGCGAGGGGCGCACCTGAAGGCGAGGGGCGCACCTGAAGGCGAGGGGCGCACCTGAAGGCGAGGGGCGCACCTGAAGGCGAGGGGCGCACCTGAAGGCGATAGTAGAAGCGGCGAGTGTAGAAGTCTTCAAAGTCGCGACACAGGGGTGCGTAGCCCTGCCACCACACAGCCCAGCGGCACGACGCAAGGCGATGAGGCACGGCGATGAGGCGAGCAAGCAGCAGCGATAGCGCGAGCACCGATGGCCGCGCAGTGAGCTCGCCTACGCACTGGGAGGCTCGCGATCTTAGCAGCAGCAGCAAGCACGCGGCGATCAACCGGTGAGACCAGGCGGTGACGAACTCGCAGCAGCGTCGCCATGCCCGCCGCCAACCTCGCACTACCTCTCCGCTCGATCTCTCTGCGCGATCCTCTCTGCTCCATGCTCTCGCTCAGTCAACGCGTGCTGCTCTCGTGGTGCTCGCTGCGAGATGCGACCCCGCGAGCAGCGGCCTCAGCTGGCAGTGACTACAGGGACGCCGGCCGCCACGCACCTTCAACGAGTCCTTGAGCTGCGGAAGCAGCGAGCGAAAGGTGTCGCGGATGTGGCCGAAGAGGAAGAGGAAGCCATAGCTGATGTACGTCGTGAGCGCCGCGAAGTACGGAATATGAAGCGTCATGGCCGCGGCCGCCTGGCGAATCGCGAAGCACTAGCACGACGAAAGCCGCTGAGCCCAAGAGCTGGTAGCTTGGCTTGCACAGCTGATGGATCTCATCCCAAGGCCGCCATGGCCGAATCGGAAGACTTGAGGTTAGGGCGCGTGTCCTAGGGGTTGAACTTTTGCCAAAGTTCGAACTTCTAGAAAGGTTGTACACGGTAGGATACAGTTGAGAGATGTGTCGCCACGGTACAGAGGGTTATTGAGCTCGAACTTTGACAATCTACACCAAAAGACACGCACAACCGCACGTCAGGTTGTACAACTTTATGCTCAACTCCGTTTCGTCACGGTGCAAAGCGGTAAAGCTGAAGAACCGCTTCTCACCGTGTGGAACCGTCCTGAGCCACGATACACGAAACTGTAAGGGCGCGTGTGATCTTCAGAATTTTGTCAAAGTTCGAACTCAAACCGCTTTGCACCGTGGAGAAAAAAATATCAACTGTATCTTACCGTGCAGAACCCTTCTAAAAGTTCGAACTTTGGGAAGTTCGGAAAAAAAACAAGAGGCAATAAAATCGTCTTAGGGTTGCGAAGCAACATTACACTGTAAATTTGGGTTGCGTAGCAACCTTATACATTCGTTTTCACTTTTCGGTTGACTGGCGTGAACAGTGATTTCCCCCCATCGATTTTGGAAGGAATCACTGTTCACGTAAGTTACCGTACAAGTGAAACCAAATGTGTCCAATCATCCATAATCGTCGATAAGTACGGGATGATATACCTCAGCGGGAGGCTGCTGCACATCCCTGCGATGTGCCTCCATGCGGTGGAGCATCTCCCTGAGCGCGTTACCACCGGCGGGCACCTTAGCAGCTGACGGACCATCGTGCTTAGCCGCAGCAGCCTTTGCGTCGCCCTTGGCGGCAAATGGGGCTGCTGTAGATGGAGGGGCCGCAAGGGGCGGCCCATCGTTGTTAGTGCCTGACTGGCCAGCCAGCGCGGTGGTAGCCGCAGGGGGGTTACGGGGAATCGACGTGGACCCCGCCACTGCGACGGACGGTCCCTTGGCGGTTCTGGACCCGCCATCTTTCTCCGTCTGGGCAGTTGGTATCTCCTTGTCGCTCACGCCTTTCCCACCGCTCGCCTGAGGATGGGTCTGCTCGGCGACCAAAGGCGGGCCTTCCGGTGCCGCGACTTTAGCGGCAACCTCGTCGACAGGGCCACCCTCTGTCCCCCCGCTTCCATCTCCCTTGCTGTGCGACGACCTTATCACCTTCCACCCCGCCTTCTTCTTCAGCTGGTCGACCATGCTTTGTGCAGCAGGCTTCGAGCCGCCTGGACCGCGGCTCCCGTCCGCTCCCTTGCTCCGCTTCACGCTCCTCCGGTAAGGCGGACGTTGGGGTTAGCGGCGTGGGCTGAGGCGGAGGCGGCGACTGTACGACGAGTCTGTGAGTCACAGCGGTGGCGATGTTGACCTGCGCGGCGGATAGGTGGTTCGAGATGTACTCCTCCAAACCCTTCTTCGCATCGCCCACCACCGTATTTACGTGGTCGGCCAAGGCGGAGACCGCTAACGCGCGTGCATATGCCATACGTCCCTCCGGATTGTCGAAGTCCAACAACCACGCCGACGCCTGTTCCGCGAACGACTTCATCGCCTTCCACGCTTCTTCGAAGTTGCCGGTGATGTTCCCCGTGATGGTCGTCGACATGGCCGACATCGCGTCCCGCAGCCAACGACCTCAACCCCTTTGTCTTTATGTTCTCGACGCTCACCGCACTTCGCCTCTTGTCGCCCGTCACCAGGTCGATCTGTTTCGCCAGCCATCCAAACGATGTCACGGTAAGCATGTTGGTGTCGACATGCCCATCCGACACGGTGTCCGGCACTTTCTGCATACAACACCGGCATGCACGCATCATAATGAGCGTATGATAGAGAAACACGACCTCAAACCTCCCTGCTAGGCATTATAGTGCAACTCACATCTCGAATCGGGTGGTCGCAGTCGGCGAGCCTGTCCTCCACCACGGCTTGTGATGGCGGCGCCGACGCCCAAATCCTACCGGGACGCCCCAGCTCGGCCAGTACAGCTGTGCGGAAAAACCTGCATCACCATGGTAGATGTTGGTGGTCAGCACGTCGGCGACTACCAAGCGTGACATCGCTGACAACTCACAACTCACCTCAGCACGCGGACGGCCTCGTCGCGGTGCCGCAGTTTTCCGGTATGCGGGTCTGTGTGCCGGATAGAGGTCCTGCACTGCTGCCCCTCGGCCGCCAACAGATCACCTGGGTAGAGGATGGCTATGACGCTGCAGTGCGATCCTGGAAGCGGCCCGCCGCTGCACATGCAACGCACGCCGACGTCGATCACAAAGGATAGTCGAAAAGGGCAACAAAAGTAACATGAAACTCGACACCGGAGAAACGGACGCACGTAGATCTCAGGGGGATAACCGCGACGTCGGAGTCGAAAACCATCGCAAAGCACGAATGGTCGTCGGTCTTCATGGCAGCTCGAAGCGGGGCGACGCCGATTGACCACAACCGCTGGCCTTCGGGCGCTATGCGCAACCAAGCGAACCTGAACGCACGATTGGGCATGAAGGACAAGTGAGCCCATGTCGACATCGACCGTACTGGACGTGGTCGACGCCTACTACGCCGGGGACCATCTACGCCGACCACTTACGCCGACCCTACAGTAGTACTACAATTTGAGACCCTACAGTAAGTCGACGCCGACATCTACCCAACGCGACTACTACTGTCTCACTTGATGCCGAAACCCAGACAGCGCTCATTGAACTCTTTCTTGTGGTCGCGGAGGACGGCGAAGTCGTCCCACTCGAAAGTGAAGCTGAGACCTCGAGGCTTTTGGTGACGAAGAGGGAAGTCATGATAAGTCGGCGCCGACTTATCCGCGTCCGGGCTCGGCTCCATAACGAGAAAGGGAACGCGCGGACGGTGAATGGCAACACGGTATAGGGGAGAGCGCAGAGCTAGTAACGGTTGGAAAATGAAAGGAGATGCGGAAAATGAGGGGCGAAGCCACCTTCCACGAAGAAAAGGGGATTGTGCCCCACCACAACCCGGTTGAGCATCGCCCAAGGGTGTGGGGCCTGGCTCGGCAGGGCTCGGAGGGCGCATGCGCAAGTGGCACAGATGGTCCGTCCCCGCCAAGGCAGAATGTCGACTTCGCGTCCATTGGCCCTGGTCGGCGAGCGGACGCACTTTCACATGCAAGCGGAGCGTCGCCTCGTTCAACACGTGTCGATTTCGTAGCGGGTCGCGAAACTCGTGCGCAGCGATGCGAACACGTGGCGGCACCGCAACGGGTCGCGAAATTGTCGAGTGTCCCGAGGGGGGCCCCGAATTTTCGCCAGGGCCTCGCCTGCCCGTCCGGGCAGGCCGCGATGGGTTACTAGGACCTCGCGGGCAGGTGGCACGGGTGGGCTGCCTTCGCGCGAGGGTTACTTTTCCTCGCGCCAGGTGTCGCCAGTTCGCCGACCCCACCCGACGTGAGTCGCTGTTCACTTTCGGAGCGGGGCTGCGGGGCGGCGGTCGTGCGCTCGGCCCAGCCCTGGGCCAGGCTGGCGGGCCCGCACGCGCGGCAGTTGCCCGCCTCTTCACGCCCGGCTCCGACGAACCCTCCTGATGACCCAGGCAAATCGGCTCTGACGACCGATTTGCGCTGGGATGTTACTACGGCGAATGGAATAATTGGACAATCTCTCCGCACGAACGACGATACCGTACGTGAATTTCACAAAAAAAAAGGAAAAAAAAAGGAAAAAAAAATAAAACAAAACAAAAACAAACAAACAAACAACAACAACGGAGCTGGAGGTGCTAGAGCTGGAGACACTGGAGCTGGAGGCGCTGGAGCTGGAGGCCCTGGAGCTGGAGGCGCTGACGCTGGAGGTATTGGAGCTAGAGGTGATGGAGGTACTGGAGTTGCTAGTCCTGAAGGTACTGGTGCTAGAGGCGTTGTGGAGCCTCTCTCCCCACAGCAGCTGCGCGAGTGGTTTGCTCGGCGCACCCGCCTTCGGAGTCGCGCTGCTGGAGCTGGAGACATTGCCGCGGGAGGCGTTGGAGCTGGAGGCGCTCGAGCTGGTGACGCAGGAGTTGGAGCCACTGGAGTTGGAGGCGCTGGCGCTGGAGGGACTGGCACTGGAGGTGCTGGAGCTGGAGGCACTGGAGCTGTAGGCACTGGAGCTGCGGGAGCTGGAGCTGGAGGCCCTGGCACTGGAGGCGGTGGCGCTGGAGGTGCTGGTACTAGAGGCGCTGGAGCTGGAGGCACTGGCGCTGGAGGCACCGGAGCTGGAGGTGCTGGAGCTGGGGGCCCTGTGCAACAGCGCCCGTTATTCTTGCCGCCGCCACAGCTGTCCTCAGTACCGCCCGAGTCGGTGCTTCGTCAGGTTCTTAGTCTTCCTTCGTCCACTGCCCTTCCTCCAGACTCGCCACTGCCTGCCCCCCCTCCTTACACCGAGCAGCCGGTCTCCCTTACAGAGCGTCGTGAGCCTGCGTCTCGTCCTGCCTCCCCTGTTTGCACTGTTCGCCGTGCTCGTCGTGTCCCTCGTCCGCGCCAGGTACTCACACTATGGCACTTCGTCCTTCCCCTGTTCCCCAGCGTGTCCCTCTGCCGTCTCCTCTTGCGTCCTCTCTTCCTGACGTTCCGGACCCTGAGTCTGACCGTGTTCGTGCTGCCAGCCCCACTGTCACACGTCTCCTGGCTATAGTCGTCACAGACTCGTCGTTTGAGTCTACTGCTGCGTCTGCCTTAGTTGCTAAGCTTGTGGACTTTGCTGCTGCGTGTCGTCTAGACTACGCCGCCAGTCTTGTTGGTGAGTCTGAGTCTGTCTGTCCTCCGTCAGTCGGGGGTGAGTGTGCTCTTGGCATGGACGTCCGAGAGGACAGGCAGGAGGACTTTGAGTGTCTTGCGGCTGCTGTACCTCATCTCGTGGCCATGCTGCTTGCACCTGAGGGAGACCCGGATGCACTGGACATCCCAACCTTGCGCTTTTACGCAGAGGCGATCACGGGTCCCTACTCCTCTCAGTAGCAGACAGCCATGGACGCAGAGATGGCATCCTGGAAGTCCACAGGCACTTACGTCGACGCAGTTCCCCCTCCTGGGGTGAACATAGTCGATGGCATGTGGATTTTCAAGGTGAAGCGGCCGCCTGGTTCTCCGCCTGTCTTCAAGGCTCGTTACGTTGCACGAGGCTTTAGTCAGCGACAGGGAGTTGACTTCTTCCAAACCTTCTCCCCTACCCCGAAGATGACCACTCTTCGGGTGCAGAGCACGTTGCCGCTCAGCGTGACTACGAGCTTCACTCTCTTGACTTCAGCACAACCTTCTTACAGGGCAGCCTGCACGAGGAGATCTGGCTGCGCCGCCCACCTGGCTTTACTGGGTCGTTTCCTGCGAGTACCCAGTGGAGCCTCCGGCGGCCAGTCTACGGTCTCCGCCAGGCGCCTCGTGAGTGGCACGACACACTGAGGACGGCACTTGCGGCTCTTGGGTTTGCTCCTTCGATTGCTGACCCGTCGCTGTTTCTGCGCACTGACATTTCGCTGCCGCTGTTCAACATCCTCGTGTACGTTGAGGACTTGGTTTTTGCCACTGTTGACACTGAGGCACTGGCCCTTGTGAAGTCGGAGCTGTAGAAGAGACACACGTGCACAGACCTGGGTGAGTTGCGCAGCTATCTTGGCTTGCAGATCACCCGGGACAGAGCACGGCGCACCATCACCCTTACACAGTCACACATGGTGCAGCAGGTCCTTCAGCGCTTCGGCTTCCAGTTCTCCTCACCACAGTCCACTCCTCTGCCTACCGGTCACTCGCTCTCAGCTCCACATTCGGACGAGTCCGTAGAGCCGAGTGGCCCGTATCCAGAGCTTGTGGGCTGCCTCATGTACTTGATGACCTGCACGCGACCTGACCTTGCGTACCCTCTTAGCATCCTGACTCGTTGTGTTGCTCCTGGGAGACACCGGCGAGAGCACTGGGAGGCTGCTAAGAGGGTGCTGGGCTACTTGTGTAATACATCGAGCATGGGGCTGGTGCTTGGAGGACAGGGTCGAGTTGTCCTCACTGGACACTCAGACGCCTCTTGGGTTGACGACCTAGCTACGCAGCGGTCGTCACAGGGTTACACCTTCAGCCTTGGTTCCGGCTCTGTTTCTTGGCGGTCTACCCGCTTGTCTTCTGTTCTCAGCTCCAATTGTGAGGCTGAGATCTACGCAGGAGCCATGGCTGCACAGGAGTTACGCTGGCTCACCTACCTGTTGACTGACTTGGGAGAGCGGCCCAGTTCTCCTCCATTTATGTACGTAGACAACAAGGCCGCTATCGCCTTGTGTCAGGAGCACAGACTAGAGCACAGAACGAAGCACATCGCTCTGCGTTACTTCTTTGCTCGAGAGTTGCAGCAGCGTGGCCAGCTTCGTCTTGCTTACATGGCCACCCGGGCCAATACAGCTAATATATTCACCAAGGCACTTCCGCCTGGTGATCATCAGCGTCTCTGTACTGCTTTAGGCCTCGTGCCTACGTTTGCTCACTTGCTCACTGCGTGGCCTTGCTTGCATGCTTACACTTGCTAGGTTGTGATCACTGTACTGTTTGCTCTGTTTTATATAACTCTGCATGTGAACTGGCCTTGTGGCCATTTGCTTGTGCTCGGAATGTGTGGTGACTTCGTGATCCACCCTGAGCTTGCTTTGCTTTTCTGTGACTGCTTGTACTCCCCCACCTTGCCTATGGGCCTGTGTCAGAATATTGTGTTGTGTAGGCTGTAGTGGGGTAGCCTATATGGGGTACAACCCTGTTAGGGTTATTACTTGTACCAAAACCGATTCTTAGTTCATCATTCTACTGCTAGATTCTGATAGTAACGAGGGGGTGGGCTGAAATCCTGTAATGGAGATTCGCGTAGGTGCCTTGAATTTTGAATGTCTACGCACACCAGTTCGATCGTCCCACCGTCAATCATGCCGAAATGGCATGATTCCTTGCCAACGCACTAGGAAATGGCATCATTCCCGAACTTTCTTTCCACTGCTGTTTTCGCGCGAAGGTATCTTCGTTCGTAATTGGTTGTTTGGGCATCCACATCACTTTGTGGCGAATGGATAGTTAACAACACCACGCACGCACGTTGCAGCAGCACAGCATAACACCACATAATGGTTGCCGCGCGACTAGGAATCCCCCCCGCCTCACCCACCCCGAACCTGCAACCAGGTACGTGCATGATGCCAAGGGATGCATCGCCTTGCATCATGGCACGAAAAGGTTGCCAACAAAGCCTCCTTCTTGCATAACCCCAGCTAGCTGCAGGAGTCCCACCCCGCACCCCAAACTCGCTTGGGTTTCACTTCATTCGCCTCTAGCCCCCGAGAATTCTCGGCACGCTCTCTTAGTGCTCGGCACGCTCTCTCAGTGCTATGTTCCGTCATAGCTGGCCATGGCGCTGCCCTTTTTGTCGACGAAGGTGATAATCAAGCCAACGAAACCACCGTAAAACCTTCTCTTAACGTCAACGTTCAAGAGATCGTTGATGCTATCTATGCCGAGGCATTGGAGAAGTACAAATCTAAGTGGTTTGAGCGTTTCCCTTGGCTTATACAAACAAAAACTGTTCGTGGTCCGCCTGTTTCTCATGTGCTCTACCGCCATGCCAGCTCGTCTCCGAATGCCATGGTCAACGTTTGACCCCGTCTTGCATTGTTTGCCTCCCAAACCTCTTGTGTTGTGAACCTGCCAGGAATCAGCTTCGGTTATTCTGCTCCGTCCACGCCGCTGCACCGAAAGGGGAGAGGTCTTTCCACGATGGCCTCACCGCGGTTTTGAAGACCCCTGACTGGCGAGAGAGCTACCCCAACCTCGTGCAGCTGTGGGTAGCCGTGGCAGTGATTCCCCTTAGCACTGTGGAGTGCAAAAGGGGCTTCTTGCGGCAAAACGTGATCAAGTCTTGGCTGCGGTGTGGCCTAAAAAATGCAAGGCTGGGCCGTACGAGCCTCTATACGACGAGGTGGTCGAGATCTGGAGAAGCTACAAGAAGAGGAAGCCATATTCTAATGCCCCATTTTCCACCCCAGGTGAAACCAGCAAGAAGGGAAAAGTAACAGCTCTGGAAGTAGATGACAAGAAGGCTGTAGAAGCTTTAGGCTCTACTGATAGTAAAGATTCCAATGATGAGAATGAAGAGGATGATGAGGACATGTTTTGATTAGATTTCCTGTAAGATGCTCTTATCAATGAAAAACTTATTAATTGGGTGTGTTGTGCTGCCTGTTTAAAATGGTTAAGCCTTTTCCAAGTAGTGACGCTGATTGCTCAGTTTTTTTTTTTTTTTTTTTCTGATCGACACACTGAAAAGTCAGTTTTTTTTGTTTTTTTTTTTGTTTTTTTGTTTTTTGTTTTTTAACAGCAACATTGAGTGATCAGCCGTGAACACACTCCTAAGACTGACCAATCAACCTACGCCAAAACGAATCTGAGGCACTGGCTTAGTCCTTCACTGTTTTTGTTCGATTTCGTCTGCCGCCACTGCACTCACGGCTTTACTTTGAATCTGGAAAGGTTTTCCTTAGAAAATTCAGACAAGTGTATATGTTTAGTAAAAAAATTCAGAAAAGGGCCAATGCTTTCTAAAAAAATAGACCACCTAAGATTGCTTGTATTTCATTCAGAAAAATATTTTTCTGCAACGTTTTTTTCAGACGGGCCAAAAACCTAGCCAGAGCCAAGTTTCAATGAACCCTTACAAGAAAAAGTATAATGTGTTTAGCACAATGATATTTCAGAGAGGTCTGATTGTATACACTCATGTGTAAGAATGCTTTGGCAAAGGACCCTTACACAATATGACACACAATTACCCCTAGTAGTGTACCCCCATATCACTCCAAAGTCTGCGGCGGGACACGGAAACGCATTGACGTGACGGCGCGCCCCATGACAGACTGCGCAGCGCGTCTATCAAGGATCGATGGCTGAATTGACGGGTGTTCTTGACTGTTGTTTGGCGCCATTTCGTGCCAACGCACAAGGGTGGCTTGCCAGAATGCTGTCCAGTGCAGGACGTGTATGCTTCCTTGTTACAGCAAGCCCTCTCTCTCCACCACTTGGTGCTCGGCTGGGTGCGCTGCACTGCACATAAGCTAGGTTTAATCTCCCTTGCAGTGTTTCTCGAAGCACGTAGATCCGTCGTTTGATTTTTTTTCAATTTCTCCAGACTCAACTCAGCGCTTCACAACAGGACTACATATTGTTACAATCCTAAATATGACTTAGCCAGGGATCGGCTCAGGGTGTTTGCAGGTACTGTTACAGCGGAAGTGTTGACCTCAGGTCAGAGTGAACGTAAATGGCTGAGATGATTAAAAGCATGCATACATCGAGTTTATATAGGAAATACAAAGGAATGCAAAACGACCTAGACTAGCCATGTACTCTAAGGGGTACATTCCCTTATTGCAGCGAAATTGAAACCATGCAGTGCGGGAATTCGTTTCAAACCTGTTTCCACTCTTTTCACTTCAAATGTTTCTGCGTGCATCAGTCTCGAACTGACGGTTGCTGTGTCGCTTCGATTCTTCTGACTCCTCGACTTCATACTCGGTAGAGTTGGCCTTTGCAGCGAAGAGTTAATAAAAGTTCGTATCTCAACACCCTCCTTCATTCGTGGGCGTGTTGGAGGCTGAATCGCTTCACTACTCCGGTGAGGTTGGCGCAATGCTGGTACTGCTGTCGTGAAAGTCCGCTTGGTGAGGAAGTCAGCTGCCATCTCGGTGGTGGGGCAGTACGTGAGGTCAACATTGCCTTGGTAAATTTCGTCCTTGATGAAAAAGTATCGAAGCGCGATGTGCTTTGTTCGGTTGACGAAGCCCGGCTTGTTCGCAAACTTGATCGCGCTCTGATTGTTGCAGTGGAGACAAAAAGTGGGCGAAGTTGGGATTCTCACATCTTGCATCAGTTCTTGCAGGTAAAGTCCTTCGTGAACCGCAGCAGCCACGGCGATGTACTCTGCTTCAGCCGATGACAGGGCGACCATCTCCTGCTTCTGCGAGTTCCAGGAGATTGGGCCCGTTGGCTCCAAGCAAAAAACAAACCCGGTTCGTGACCGTTGATTGGCAGGGTCAGCGGCATGATCTGTGTCCACGTAGTCGGTGAGGTTGAAGGATATTGTTGTCAGCGTGGAGTAGGAAAGCCCGATGTCAGTTGCGGAGATAAAGTACTAGGGTGCGCTCCAGGTCTAGCTAGTTCTTTGCTGCTGGCTTGCTTGAGTATTGCACCAGTTGGCTGGCGATGTACGAAAGGTCGGGTTGACAGGTCACAAGGGCGAACAGTAGGCACTCTAGCTGCTGCTGGTACAGTTGGAGTCCTGCGAGCGGTAGAGGTTTGTTGTCCGGTTTGTAGTTGGCACTGGGCGGGTGAAAATTTGAAGCGTTCCCCCAGCTGCTCTGCGTACTTGGAGGCTGACAGGTGAATTGCTTCTGGCATGTAAGTGATGTTTAGCCCCACGAACTGTGTGACTTGGTGGTTGATGGTGATATCAACGCGCTGCGCTAGATTCGGCTCGAACTAATTCATGAGCTCGTTGCTTGTGCTGGTGTACAGTAGGTCGTCGACGTAAACTGTCAGGAGGATGTAGTCGCCTTTGAAATGAAGGCGGTATATCCGCGGGTCGCGTGGCAGTTGCTTGAAGCCGATCTCCATGAGAATTTTGTGTAGGTGCTACTGCCAGATTCGTGGCGCCTGCTTGATCCCGTAAAGGGACTTTTTTCAGCTGACAGACCCTAGGGTCTCCTTCCCCGTAGGTGTGCGGTTGTTTCACGAAGATGGTCGCATCGACCAACGCGTACAAGAACACAATTTTTACGTCGATCTACTGCACTGGTACGTTCTTAGAGGCAACGATGGCGAGTAGAATTCGCTTAGAGGTATGGCAACTCACGGGGGCGAAGGTCTGTTTGAAGTCGATGCCATAGCGCTGGTCGTACCCACGTACGATCCACCATGTTTTGAAGTGTTCAAAGGTCCGTCAGCGGCGGTTTTGAGGCGAAAAACCAATTTTCCAAATAGCACCCTCCTCCTCTTCACTGCTGCACGATTGACTAGGACCCATGTGTCGCATGATTCTAGTGCTTTCAACTCCACATCCATGGCTGCACGCCACTCATTGGCGTATGGGCCTGTGAGGGCCTGCCACGGGTTCTTAGGTTTGACGACGCGCGCAGCGGTAGTGTGTAGGCTGAGAAGTTGACGGCCTCTGATGTTGGCCAGGCCTTGGTCTCCCTGAGTGGCTACTTCAACCACATCGTCATCGTCGCTCTCATGTGCAAGCGGTGGACTGCTTGGAGGAGCTTGGCGCCGAGAAGGTCCTGGCGCATGATCGACGTCATCATCATCGTCGTCGTCGCACGGATGAGGGGGTACGTCGAGATGTTCGTCGGCAGGGTCGCGGTCGAGGGTTGGTGCAGCGGCCTCATCTTCAAGGGAGGCGAAGCTTCTGACTTTGTTGGCGTAAGCTTGTGTTGCACCTCTCTGCTGATCCGCAAGCCAGGTGTTGTAGGTGAGGCGCTCGTAGAATAGGATGTCTCGCGCAGGTACGATCTCGTAGAAGAGGATGTCCAAGATCAGCCATCATTTGTACTCATGACTGACTCCCAGATGAATTCCTCAGCGCTCGCGGTCGGTGAATTTCCCCGATGTTGGCGGATGTCGGCCTGTATTGCACCATGCACCCCCAGACCCTCAGCATGGAGGTATCCCCTCTTGTCCCGGTCCACTTCATGTGAGGTGAGAGATACCCCTTCATTGGCTGTGGTGGACAAGACCAAAACTTGATTGGGAGGCCGGACTGCTTCATGAGGGCGTGAACTTTTGTCATGAGAGTGCGGTTGACCCACTCAGCGACGCCTTGCTGCTGGTGAGCATAGGGGAGCGAGATGTGGTGCTGAATCCCCTTCTCCGTGAGGAAAGTCTGCAGTTCGTTGCCGCGAAATTCTTTTGGCCTGTCTGTCTGCCAGATCTTCAGATTCTTTCCCGATTGCCGCTCCGCGTGTGCTAGCCAGACCCGATAAACTTCAGGTGCCTTGGAACGAACGTCGACGTTTGCGACCCAGACGTAGCGCGAGTTGGTGTTCACAAAGGTGATAATGTAGTTGTCATCGTTGAGTCCCCCGTGATGTACTACGATGAAGTTGCTGTAAACCTTCTGCAGCTTCTTGTAGTGGTTGATGCTTGGTTCCAGTAAAAGGTAGACTTGATGCGTGAGCGCAGCTGTGGGACAGACTGTGAGGATCGATAGGATCCAGTTAAGAAAAGAGCGAATGTATTGAATGATCCACCTGGGTACAACACGAGGCTATATATAGTCTCGACACAAGGCCAGTAACCCAAATGTTACGCGAAGGTTCCGAGGGCTGCGAAGCGTCCCGAATGGATCCTTCCCAAATTCGGTAGAAGGCAATTCGGTGGCAACCGAAAGGCTTGGAATTCGGAACACGCAACCTGGTTCTGTACTACAACTATAAAAACATATAGGAAAGCACCTAACCTAGGAAATCAAGCATAAGCATGCACGATAAAAAAAACCTAAGTTAATAATAGCAAAATATAGACAAGGCAAGCTAGCAAAGCTAGCATAAGCCGTCGTAATCTCACACGCCCCCCCTCAAAGCTGGGTGGCGAGACAAACACCCCACTGACAAGATAATCCTTGAGAGCACGGCGTGCGTCGCCTATATCAACTTCTGCAACCCAGCTCTCCTCCAATGGGTCATATCCATTCCAGCGTATTAGAAACTCAAGGGTCTTGCCGCCGCGGCGCCGATGAGTAATAACGTCTGCCACCTCGTACTCTGGTTCATCCTGTACGAGAACAGGTGGTGGTGGCGGTAGCTGCCGTCCCTGGAACTGTTGGTTGGGGTCCTTGTAGGGCTTCAGTAGCTGAACATGGAAAGCGTTGTGAAGCTTCCACATAGTAGGTAAGCGCAAGCGGAATGTTACTGGTGTCACCTGTGTCTCAATGTGAAAAGGACCACAGAAGCAAGGCCAGAGTTTTGTTGGAAGGTGTGACAAGTCCAAGTTGCGTTTGTCGAGGAGCACCTAATCTTGTCGCTGATGATCGAGATACTGCTTCTGGGAGTTGTGCATCGTGGTGAGACGCCGGTGAGTCTTCTCCAATAGCTGCTGCATGGTAGTGATGAAGTCGTGTGCGACTTGGACACGTGCTGATGTGGTTGGCTGCTGTGGGGTGAGTGGTTCCCGTCCGTAGCACAGGAAAAAAGGAGATTTCCTTGTGGCCGCATGTGAATCGTTGTTTTAAGCGAACACAAGTGTTGGTAACTATAGATTCCAGTGGCTGATGTCGCCTTTCCAAGCTATGCACGGTAACTGTTCAACCACCTGATTGGGTCGCTCTGTCTGTCCGTCAGTTTCGGGGTGGTACGCTGAAGACATCGCAAGCTTTGTCCCCAACAAACCCATGAGTTTTCTCCATGACTTACTTGTGAATTTTGGGTCTCTGTCTGAGATGAGTGTAGCGGGGATGCCGTGGATGGTGATGATGCAGTCGAAGAAGAGGCGAGCAGTTGCTTCAGCAGTAGCCGTGGCGTTGGTCGGGATGAAGTGACCCATTTTGGAGAACTTGTCGATCACCACGAGTATAGCGTCATGCCCTCGTGAGGTCGAAGGAAGCCCAGTGATGAAGTCTAGGCTGAAGAATTTCCAAGGCTGCTCCAGTACGGGTAGAGGCTGAAGAAACCATGCTTTTTTTTTACTTACTACTGTTCATCTGCTGGCACGTGTCGCATGAGGTGATGAACTGCTGCACGTCTGCTGCCATCCGGGGCCAGTAGTAATACTTCGCTATTCCCGCTAACGTCTTGTTGCTCCCGAAATGTCCCGCGTATGGTACGTCGTGAAACTCCTCCAGTAAGATCTGTCGGAGCGGGGCATAGTTTGGTACCCAAATCTTTCCTGAACCCTTCCTTACAGCTAAGTCTTTCTCCCACTGTAACAACTTCTTTTTCTGTGCTTTCACGATCTCTGCGTCGTCGGAATAAATATTTGAGCAGAGGGTTCATCCCGTCAAGATGGATGTCTGCTACGTGACCGGGGCGGCTCAACGCGTCTGCTTTGTTGTGTAGCTTGGGTTTGTAGACGATGTCGTAGTTTCCACGATGTCCACCCACCGCACATGTTGTCCTGATAGCGTAGGCTGCAACTTGAGATATTTGAGGCTGCAGTGGTCAGTGTAGACTGTAGTTTTGGCTCCCTCTAGGTAACACCTCCACGCCTTGAAGGCTGTGACTATCGCTAAGGCTTCTTTGAGATGGATGGGGTAGTTTAGTTCTGCTCCGTGTAGCCTTTTACAGGTAGGTGATGTGCTGCAAACCGCGTCCGTGATCCTGCATCAGTACTGCTCTGACTGCCTGGTCACTAGCGTCTGCTTCCACCACGTAATCTCTGTCTGGATCCAGTAGGATGAGTACTGGCGCTGTAGTCTGTTCTGTCTGTATGCTCCATATGCTCTTTCATATTCTTGGAGTAGATGAGAATGTCGTCCAAGCACACCACCACGCACTCGTCCAACATGGCCCGTGGGATATGATTCATCTCCACCTGAAACATCGCTGGTGCGTTGCAGAGTCCGAACGGCATCACTAAGTATCCGTAGGAGCCGTATCTGTTATGGAACGCCATCTTGTGGATCAAATTGTCTACCAACTTGGTCTGCCAGTAACCCGACCATAGGTCCAGCTTCGGAAACACCGTTGCTTCACGCAGTTGCTCCATTTCCCGTCTATGCGCGGTATGGGATATTTGTTCTTGACTGTCTGTTTGTTCAGTGCCCGGCAGTCGATGCACATCCGTAAAATACCGTCTTGAAGAGAACCAGTGCGCCATAGGGAGAGGTGGATGGGCGGATCAGTTTTCTGTCCAGTAGATACTCAATATGTTTCTTCATGTATGTCAATTTGGTCGGACTAAGGCGGTATGGTGCACGGGAGACGGGTTTCGCACCTGGTTCCTCCATGATCTCGTGCTCGTGGGTTCGCGCTGGAGGCACTCCTGCAGGCAGGACGTCTGGCATGATGTCACTGTATTTTACTAACACCTCCTGTACTGCTGCAGGTAGCTCTGAACTCGGCTTCTCCTCTTCTGCTGCTGCTGCCATCACCAGTGTTACTCTCGTTCACAGTCTGCTTGAATCGTGCAAGTGTCGTTTCCAATATATCCCCTTTATCTGTCCAGCTTCGCAGCTCCACACGTTTCCCATTGTTGTAGATGCACGCCTTCCGGTTGACCCACTCGATCTCGGAGTTGAACCGCTTCAGAAAATCACACCTCAAGATGAAATCTAATCCCTTGATGCTCGTAATCGGCAACGTCGGCTTCCACCTCAACGCCTCTATCTGCCCCTGCAGTGTTGACTGGCTGTAGACGGGAAGCTTCGTACCGTCCACCATCTTTGCTGTATACCGGTCTCCTCCGAGCACTTTCCAATTTTCTCCAACGTCCAACGGTCGCACACTGAGTGGGACACACCATTGGCTACCAGTGCCTTGAGGCGTCGCCCTTTGCAGAGCACCTCGAGTAGTAGTAGCTGCTGCTGCTCCAAGTATCCGTAGATGGTCTGGCTTATAGGATCATAGGGTACATCGAATATATCCTCCCTAGGTCCTGCGCTCGAAGCTGCCGACTCAATATCAGGTTTCACCTGGATAGGGTGAGAAGGATTTTTCCGAGGCTCGTACAACTTCTCCTGAGCTTGGAACCTTCCCCTAAGCCTTTGGAGCTGTGTAGGCTTCACGTGTGGGGAACAAGGGGCCTTAACATCGTGCTGCGGGGAGAAAATATTAACTCATCGGAATGCTCGGGGTGGGGTCCCCATTTTACCCGAAACTGGTATAATTCTGTCTCTCCCTTAACAAAGGCTTGAAAACTATGAGAAGTAATATTATTAGTTAAAGTATCTTCATAGAATAACTTTAACAACTTCTTACCTTCGTGGGTGTTCGGCTGGATTTTCCCTTGGTGCCAGCCGATCGTACGTTTTATATTCGCGCCATCATTTTCTCCTTTTTTTGCTTGCTCCGAAGTCGCCACGTCGTCGCTTTTTTTTTTTTTTTTTTTTTTTTTTTTTTTTTCCGGATCTTTACGCGATCGCCAGGTCGATCCGCGGCTACTGGCGATTCCCATTTTTTACTTCGGGGGTGCTGCACTGCTGTTGCCCAACATTTTCGCACGCGCTTTTTTCATTTTGAAACACGACAGAATCTGATGTTCGGCTATGCTGTATCTCTCAAATTTTGTCGGCCGCGGCTTCGCATCGATTTTGTCGATGTCCATCGGGTCGGCGAACGTGGGAGGTGTCGATCGCTCCGTGCCGATCTGTTCAGCATGTGGCATCGTGTTTCGGGTTGACCACGCGTCAGCGCATCATATCGCTCTGCTGCACACACCATGTCGCGGTAGCTACTCTAGTTCGCGGCGATCACTTGTCGTCGTATCTCCATTTTCAGTCCCTCAGTGTACGCCTGCAGTTTTTCCCCTTTGGTCAGGTCTGGAATTCGGTTGAATAACTGCTCAATCTACTGCGTGTATTGCGCTACACTGCTGTATTGTTTATGTCGATGAATCTGCTGCCGAGCCATGTAGCTCGAATTAATAGGTTTGAAACGCGCGAATAAATCTGCCCGAAACTGCGTCCACGTTCCCTCGCCTTGGACCACTTCACTGTAGTACACCCATTCGAGTGCTGGGCCTCTCAACAGTGTTGCGACGAGCCGAATCATTGCTGCGTCATGCGTCGGGGTCGAGTGTAGTTACGAATCGCCGAACGTCCGATCCCTTTGCGCTCGGATCGAACACTTCCGGGAGCCTCGGACGAGCTACTTCGAGGTTCGGCGAAGCTGGTGCCACTGCTGCGTGAAATGTCGGTGTCGCCACTGCTGCTGCTGCCGTCGTTGCTGCATTCGCTGCTGCCGTGGCGGCTGCCGACTGGTTCGCAAGAAGCGCCTCCATTTGCTGGAGTGCCGCCCACGTCAGTTCCATCTCCATGCGAAGGGTTGCAACTTTTGTTACGAAAGTATCACGTACGCCCTCCATTCCTGACATTGCGTATGAAAATCGAAACCGAGAAGGACTTAAGAACACGGAACCGGTCTTACGTAACCGATATGGTGTTGATCGTTCCTCGCCCCTGCGGTTTTTTTAAAGACTAGTCTTTAGTGGGCAAAAAACTTCGCGTGTAAACGGGCTCTGATTACCAAGTGTGAGGATCGATAGGATCGAGTTCAGGAAAGATGAAATGTATTGAATGATCCATCTGGGTACAACACGAGGCTATATATAGACTCGGCACAAGGCCTGTAACCCCGGTGTTACGCGAAGGTTCCGAGGGTCGCGAAGCATCCCGAATAGATCCTTTTTGAATTGTGTCGAAGGCAATTCGGTGGCAACCAAAAGGCCTGGAATTCGGAACACGCAACCTGGTTCGGTGCTATAACTATAATAAAATATAGGAAAGCACCTAACCTAGGAAGTCGCTTGATGAAATAAACCTAAGCTAGAAATAGCAGAATCAAGTCAAGGCAAGCAAACAAAGCTAGCAGAAGCCGTCGTACTCTCACACAGACAGTGCATGTATGTGGCTTTGAGGTGCTTCGTGGTATCGTGCCGTCGGGGCACAGCAGAGCGCTTGGTGGGAAGACTTTCGTGGTGTGGCAGTTGTTGAATGTCTGGCGCGAGGGGTGGCCGAGCCGTTGGTGCCTGAGGTCATCATCTCCGCGTAATCCAGGGGTGCGCAGGTATTGCACATGATGTGCAACAGCTTCTTCTGTTTCGTGGGGGATGCAGAGCACGGGTACTTCTCCTACTCTTGGTTCTGCTTCTGTTTTGCTTCCTCCTCTCCTTCTGGTTCTGGTTCTGCTTCTCCTTCTGCAGATGCTGTTGACAGGTAGAGCGCGAGGAAGATGTGGTCGGGAATGATGTCTAGCGGAATGGTGGTGCCTTCAATGATGTTGGTGTAAGGGCCTAATAAACTCAAGCTATTAGGACTTAATCAAACTTAAAACCTCTCCTCGGGGTCACCTCCAAGGGTCCCTGGGTGCCTGGTACAAGACCAGCCCCTATCCTCGGGTCCGAGTTTGTAGAGAGAGGGATCAAGAAGGACTTAGTCAAAAACAGCAAGAGCACCTTGAACGTCGCGCAGCGTGCCGTGCAGACCGTCGATCGGATTAAGCTGAGAATTCGCTATATCAAAGCTCGCTCCAAGAGCTTTAAAATGAGCCAAGTTGCCTCGCGAAAAGTTCTGCCATTACGAAGTTATGGCTCAGACGGTGTTTGCCTAGCATTAGAGTGCTAGCGTACTAGCGTTGACTCGGGTAGCATTCCGCCAACGAACCGCGTAGAAATGAAATTCCAGCGAGGAAGGAATTTGCATGAATCAATTGACTATATTCAGGTACAAACAGAGAAGGATTAAATAGTTCTAGCTAGCAAGGACCTTGGGAATCAACCTGGGAACAACCAGGGATGATCCCAAATAATTCCAAGCAACAGAACCAACCTGGCTGGACAAAATAGCAGGTGGTAGGTTGGTAAACAACCTCTGGTTCTGTTTTTCCAACCTGGGAAAACAACAACCAGGTTCAGGTTCTAAAAACAGAACCTGTTTTGTCTTTGCCCAACCAGCCAAATGCTGGTTCCGCTGGTTTCCCCTGGCCTTGTAGCATGCAGATACAGACAAACAACATCCAACCTTCACCTAAATTGTACCCCTATAGTGCCTTCCCTGCTACACTATAGTTAACCAAACAAAACAGTATAATTTCGAGTTGGATAGAACTGAATCTGCGCAATCAACTCAACCGAACTGCAAAGCTTCCATCTTGGGTTCCTTTGCGAGCTCGTCCTTTCTGCTTGCACTGTTCATAGCGCGTACAATGTTGTGCCGAAGCGCACATTGCGCGAGTACCTGCAAATGCATCAAGCGAAAAATGCGAAAGCAAACAAACACACGAACACACCATTCACACGCAAATGCATACGCATACTCGTACAAACAGACGGCAGGATGTCGTGCAATGTGCATTTGCACCCAACACACTCCCCCTCAGCCTGCCGGCTGCATCCCCGTCATTCCATGCTAGTTCATGCTCATTCCACTCATGCGCACACAACGCCAATGAGGCTCATCCGCAAGCCTCTTGGTGAGAAAGTCTGCTGGCTGCTGGTGAGTCTTGATGTAGATCGGATGCACCGTCCCCCTCTTCACCTCCTTACACAGCCAGTGCCACTTGATACGCATGTGCTTGTTCAGCCCATGAAGCACAGCGTTTCTGGCCATCCCAAGAGCCCCCTTGCTATCACAAAACAGCGGCGTAGCAACTTTCTGCTCCTGGCCAATCTCCTCTAACAGCCTCCTCAGCCAAATCACCTCCTTCACCCCATGGAACATCGCCATGTACTCTGATTCTACGGAAGAGAGTGCCGTCTCCGTCTGCTTCTTGGACCTCCAACTAACAGGTCCTCCCCCAACTACGCAGATGTATCCTCCCACAGATGAGGAATCCTCCTTCTCAGAAGCCCACGTAGCATCGGTAAAGCAAGTGAGAAATATCTTGCCTTCTCCAAGCCTCTCCCCCTTCTCTTTCAGCACCTCCACCCCTTTCTGCTTCACCTGTGCAGATGCGGAGTATAACACTCCAATGCTTGGGTGAGAGTTCAGGTACTTCACCACACGCTCAGCTGCATCCACCTGCTCCTCTGATGGATTCTGCACCACCCTAGCCAGCTGCCCAACCGAGAAAGAGATGTCGGGCCTCGTGTGAACTGCTGCGTACAAGAGGCTGCCCACCAAGGACTGAAATTGCTGCTGCTCCTCGGCTTCAACCCCTTCA